TACTTTGAAAAACTTGTTTTTTACTAATATGGGAGGACGCCATTTACGACGTTTCTCGTACGATATGGTAGGCTAGAAGTTGGTAAGTTAAGGCTCTTTAAAAATCAAAGTTGGGTGTGATCTTCTGCAAGATCATTGGTTCCCAGTATTTCGTGTTCCTCCTGGGCAAAGTTTCTGTTTTCTCAGTTACAAGTCTCGCCTTAGAGAGGTGGTTCTCCGTGGTAAAACCTATAAAATACAAATTAGCATTTAAGAAACGACGAGTCCTTATCTACCTTTGTATCATATGGTTCATCTGTCTGCTATCACATGTTTTTCTACCATTTGGAATGACTCTCGACAAAGACAAACTCAGGTGCATTTGGGTTAGCACAGACCATCCCCAAAAATTCTTAGTAGTCACATACACAGTTGTGACATTTTTCATCCCAACTGCTGTCACGTGGGTTACGTACTTACATATATCTCTGTCGTCAAGGAGTTTTCCTGGAAGACACAACAAACGCGTCAGTCGTACTCGATTCAAGCTTCTACGCATGTGTATCATAGTAGCGTTATTGTTAACTCTGTGTTGGTTTCCAAACCAGCTTTACTTTGCTTTATCAACGTTTGAATTCGTGAAGCTCGAGACACCTTTTCACCACTTTACGATAGTCTTAGCCATGTTTAATTCATCAACCAATCCAATAATCTATTGCTATACCAATCAAGAACATAGGAGAGGATTTGAGTCCATATTGTGTCCTCTTTTTAATTGTTTTCTTCGGAAAAAATAACCAAGTTTTACTTTAACTCACGATCATGAAGGATTGCCGTCGCAGGAGAGGAACAGAACTAATCAAGCGGAGATTTTTGACGGTGGTGTTTTGCTGGGGTTTCATTATGTTAACCACGGATGTGAACCGCAGCTGCAAGACTCCAGATAATAATTCTCAGCAGTGTTTGCAGTAATAAATTCATAGCAACATTGTGACAAAGAACATTCATCAATGCTACTCAAAAGTCTTACAAGAGGTCTTTCAGCGAATGACTAATTTGTTGCCATTATTATAAGTAATTTCACTTAACTCAGCAGAACTTTTTAAAGCTATCGACTAAAACATTTTATAAAACATCAACCATAATCGTCTCGTTGAACGTGCCAGGGACTTTATTCTTTTTTCAAGTCAGTGTGTTTCCTTTCAAGTAATATTATAATAGTATTACCGTTATGAGAAGCAGGCATATAATGAATTCACCGGTTATGAAATTTTGAAATATAGGTTTGTCATCGACACATACGATCAATCTGGCTTTACTTTGATGAAAAGGGTCTGTCTGACGTAAAGGTCGTAATCACGAATTTACTTAAATGTTTTGGCAAACCCTAACGAGACTGGCTTTGTATTTCCTGATGTCCAAGACAATTGCACTTTTTGCGTACTGAACTGTCGTTACCAATAATTTGGATATATCAACAAAGTTGAAATGGTAAATTCGCCACCGTAATGATTACAAAAGCTGACGTTTCGAGCGTTAGCCCTTCGTCGTTACCAATGCTTTCCTTTTGAGAGAGGGAAAAATGTTTCAAAGCTTCGAGAAATTGCCATGCAAACACCTTTTTCTGTTATTTCTTCGATGTATCTGGGTCTTTGACGTATATGTCAGCCTTTTGATTTGTTCAGCCAGACATCTTTCCAGCTGAATAAATTTCATTGCACCCCATGCGACTCCCAATCGCTGGAAATTGCTGGAAAGTTAGCGGAAAAGATTGTGCGGTTTTTGCTTTATAAAGTTAAAGGTTGTAATCTCGCTTTCATAGTTTTCGGAAGGGTGACAGACAACATTGGCCAGCAAATAGCGTTTGGGTAAATATCTCATTTTAAAAAAAACCCAAAATGTTCTTAAACAAACTACAAACTCCATCAAATTGAAAAGTCTGAGAAGTTACATCTTCTCCCTTTTGTTGGGACAAAACAGATGTCGCACTTCTCAGATAAACCTGCACTTATCTCTAGTAAACATCGAAAACTCAAAGAACATTTTTCGTTAGAGCTACAGATCGCCAAATTTTCATTTGGTTAAATGAAAAGGACAAATAGTAGGACAGACTAAAACTACAATCACTTTGATGACACACACAAAGAGTAATTCTTTGACAGAAATAAAGCTAACATAATGATGGTGATAGTGATATTTTGATTTTCTAAACAGGGATCTTCCTTGTTGTTACACCAGACTACTTGATAGACAGGAAAAGCTTTCCCTACCCTATTGGACTTGGAGGAGAGGTTTACTGCCGTTTGATTGGTTCAACCTACATTCTGTTTATCTTTGGTAAGGCTTCAACTTCCACGATTATGTCTAGCTATAGATCGTTGGTACTCTATAGTGAAGCCCATACGTTACAAAACAGCTTTCAGTAAGCGATGTTATTGTTATTGTGATCGGGAACGATAAACACGTCAGTACGCCGAACCTCTTTTGAGAGATCAAGTTAAAAAGAACTGCAGTCTTAATTGTTTGCATATGGTGCTAATAACGCACTCTCGCCGCCAAAATGTAACTCTGAAGGTGAGTTAAGTTTTGTAAAAGGAAA